TATCTTGTTTTTTGTCGAAATTTCTGAGGTGGTTAAATTCATGTTTGAGATTTGTTCTTTTTTCTCTTAGAGTTTATTATGTAAAATTTTAGTCATTTGCCCATTGCTGGAAGAGGCTATGTAGCAACCCAACACTACCTAATTACAAAGAATGTCGAATTTAATTACTTTAGCCTCCAGCCTCAGGGGGCTAAAGAGGAAAAATATGGTTGTCAGCAACTTACAACAGCTTTGGCCGTTCGTTGAACTGCGAGAATCTTCTGGTCCAGCGAGAACTTAATTGACGCGACATGGCCTTTTTCAGGAATGCTGAAATTATATATGATAAATGTTCATTTAAATGAAAAAAATACATCATATTCTTGGTAAAGCTCTTAATCTGTATGTCTGGGTCCTATAAACAAATAAACATCATGGTATTTTCCAGTACAAAAAATTGAAAAAATAATTATCTAAATCATTAATAAATTCTCTAAATAAGAAAATAATTATAATTTACTTACTCAAACCGCGAGACTTTCTTGTCAGGACCTCTCACAACAACTCTAGTATACTGTCCAACTTGCCGAACAGAAAATACCTGCAAATATACATATTATATTTGTAAATTACGTTTATTGTCGGTAAATAATTTGGTAATTTAAAACAGTCTTCAATGGCTCAAAAACACATTCTTGTAAAGACTAACTTGTTTATTAGCTTCGTCAAAGAACACGCTATTCTCTCTGCTCACTGGATCAAAGCGAAGCGGCTTATTTGACAAACAAACATAAGACAAACTTTCCACTCCTGAACTGGCAGCCATTTTTTTTCATCTTATTTTTCGTAGCTAAGGAAAACTTCATGTAAACACAATTATAGTGGAACATTGGAATCACAGTCTCTTGCATCTAATAATGGACAGTTCCACACAGTTCTACGTTACCTTTTGTAACGTTACCTTAAGTTACTTACAGACCTAACATGCTTTAAGTAAAGTTGTGGCCAGTTCGCTGTATTTCCGGACACTCCCCCCCCACCCCTTCAACACACACCAACCATTCCAAATGTGCAAGTTTGACGACTCACGACACTTTAGATAATAATTGTACCATCTAGTCACGATCCGGTGATTGTTCTGTTCCATAGACAAATTTGTCTAACGTTTGTTTACAGCCAATTAGCAACTTTAGAGAACTCGCATGCCTAGTCACTACTCTTCTAGTTTACAGAACAAAGGTAACTCAAGCTTTAGAATTATCTACACGAGTAAAAAGCAGACATATATTCATAATTCTAAAGCTTAGTTACCTTTGTTCTATTCTATGCTTTTGTAAACTAGAACAATAGTCAATAGTAACTAGGCATGTGAATTATCGAAAGTTGTGAGTTGTGTAACGACGACGTAAACAACGTTAGCAAAATTTGTCTATTGTCTTTTCAATGTTCGAAAATCTTCCCGAATGAAATCTTTGACCATAAAAATCATTGGTCATCAATATGATCATTGGGCAAAGGACAATAAAAACTACACTGTTAATTTCAAGGAGTTATTTTAACTCCACCTGAAGAGTTAAGACTACTCCCTTTGGAAGAGAATCCAAAATACTCCAAAAATGGAGTTAAAATTAACTTCTCCACTTCGACATGTATTCCAAAATTTACTCCTCTGGGAGTCGATTTAATTCCATTTGTTTTAACTCCCAATTAATAACGACAACGACAAAAATATAATATATATTTTATGTTTAATAACAAATACTGGAATGATGTATTACAATTAGTATCATATACCACATATTATGGTTTTTACATATAGTATATTTAATATGATATATCCTAATACATTTCCTTTGCATATATTAAGAAATACGTTCCCTGTCAGTCTTTTGCTATTTCCTTCTTTTAAACGACTCACAGATTTGATAAATGGATAATATTTTTAATGTGAGCTTTGCGATGCTACCTTGGTTTTCAATAATAATTTCTTAACGTTGATAATCATGTTTTAAATAAGATCGCATTGAAAGCACATCGAAATTTATAAAATACCAATTTTTTTGGCTTGCAGTTAGAAATAGCAACAATTTTTAACATTTTAACTCGTCATTTCATAATATATGTTATAGTTAGACTATAAAGATGTCCCGTTATATATTTGAATACATTGTATAGAGTATGCATTCACCAACTCGATTAAATGAACAACCTAGATTATCTAACGCTTTCAATCTGGCTACGTTTATATATGAACACCTGTAGTTTAAAACTCCTCTATAAACGTACAACGAATATATACCCAGCAGATAATTCTGTCATATAGAAAATCCCAGTAGAAAATCCCTTCCATATAAAAAATCCCAGTTTGGCTATAGTGTTTATAGCCACAATATATAAAAAAAAAACGGAGACTTTTGGAATTTGAATGCGTGGCACTATATGCTCAACCCTCGGGTGAGTAAAACAGAAAATAAGTGAATTTTATGTTAACATATTCTTTGCTTGAACATGACGTCACTACAGTACGTGTCATTAGGCGCCATCTTGGTTGATCAGTTTAAAGTTTTGTCCAGCCGTTTACATCGAAATAGTTGAGTTACTTTTAATATTTTTGGTTTGTTTTGAAAACATCTTACTCTATTATGGATAGTTTACAATTTCTGGCACAATACGAAAAAGAATGAAGAATATAGATTTTTAGTTGCCACGAAAATCAACCAAGATGGCGTCGATTGGAAAGAGCAATATGAATTATGTGCATGCTGATTAATTTAACACATCGCATAAAACATTAAAAACTCGTTGCTCATGTGATCAATTGACGTCAATAATACGACAAATTTTATGTACGCTACTTCATGCGATTAGAAGCTATTTTACATTCCCACGAGCTTAGCGACAATAGCTTGATTGATTTCTTGTCTCCATTTTTTTATACCCCCAAATTGGTGTATGCATCTATTTATTTATAAATTATAATCCATATATTTGGGGCCATACACAATATACGCGACTTTCGCTAATCCCTGCGACAACCTGTGATGGTTGACATTATCACCCCCCCCTCCCCATCTGGGGGGTGTTTTGCGATACCCATAAAAAAAACAAAAAAATCATCCCCTGTGACATTATGTGACTATTGTTCAAGCACACCCCTACCCCGTCACGTATTTTGTGTACGGCCCATTAATTTAACGGTGTATGTAGTCCTTTATTTATGCAAGTAAAACTAAGCAGGCTGTTACAAGCCTGCTCGGCAAACATGTTTCCAACACATCTTTCTGAAAAAATATGAGATTTTCAGAGTGTACCAATCCACTCCAGTGTCGATGCTGAGGGCAAAAACTACATGCCCTGCGTATTCTCGGATGGCACCTACCCCATGCCCTGTGAGATTTGTAAAACTAACAATCTTTCTGCTCCGGATTGCCATTATTTATCCAATTCACACACGAGTTGAGCGAGGACGTTGATAAGTCGCCATATTGCTGAATCATCTGGGAACGAAGCAAGTATGACGAAGCCTCTTCTGAATTGCCCTGAAAGTATAGGAAAAATAATTTTAAATTAATGGATAATTCCAGCTACACACTAATTTTTTTTATCTAGACAAGAAAGACGAAATCTATCATTATAGCTCAAAAGAGCATCCTAAAATTAGTAAAATTGCAAAGTTTGGTTGCGAAATGTTGTAAAATACGAAAAAAAATAGCCCTGTGAAATTAGCAAATTTTGAATATTTTAGTATTACACGCGGAAAAGTGCACCACTTTCGCCTCAAAATTTACAATTCTCGTCAAATCTTAACCGTTCTCATCCTCGTTTAAATTCTCGAAAAAATAAATTTTCTAAAGAACGAGTAGTTAACACTGATAACTTTTGTTTGCTTAAGCCAATCACTGGCCTCCTCCGCGAAGGTCTCGGTAATCGGGTGGACCTGAAAAAATTTGGTAGAATTTTTTTCCGAACCCTAACCCATTCGCAGGCTATACAACCACTGATCAATGGCTACAACCCGTAGAGATGCCTGAGGAGGAGGCTAGCCAATCACAAAACATGTTCATTTTAGCTTTACTGCCGTCTGTAAACGAGGGGGCATTGACTCTCATTAAGCTGGTTTTCCATTAGGCGGAATTTTGCGCGCGGAGCGGAATTTTTCTTTGTCTTTTCTAATTAGTTCCACCTGAAAAATCACAAGACAAAGAAAAATTCCGCTCCGCGCGCAAAATTCCGCCTAATGGAAAACCGACTTTAGTTTAGCATTATACACATACACAGAAATCGATTTTTATCATGAGGATATTCCTTCACTATGACAGGGTACTAACAAGACTTGTATACATGACAGAAGCCTTACCAAATCTAGATGGACTTTTGCGATATTTCTTAAACTTTCTGCCACTTTCGGATGATTTCCTCCTAAATTTTCTTCATATATCTTCAGAGCTTGCTCAAATAGTTTCAGAGCTTCGCTGAGCTTTTCCTTAAAAAAATTGGATAAGACATCATGGTGTAATTACAATATAAACTTTAACAAATTTAATCGTTAATTGATTGAACAAGAGGACCTGCAGTTGCATTTAAATAATCTTTCGCTAAAAATTTACATCTGCAAAAACCCTTTCATTGTTAATTCTATCGAGCAGGATGCCCAGCAGAGGCGCCGGAATATCGATAATTG